AAATAAACTGTAAGTTTCTCTACAGAACTTAGAAACTTCAGTTCAGCCTCTTTATATGTGCAAGATCAAACACAGTATACTTTATAATATGAAAACAGAACACATCACTAGCAAACTAGGTTCCAATCCTAGGTCTACCACTATTAGCTGTGTAGCCCAAATATTTCACATATCTCTCTCTCTAAGGAAGAAGTAATGATACTAATCTCTTAGAGCTAAAAAGAAGATTTAAATGAGATAAATGTTGACAATAAATAGTAGTTGTAACTGTCAATAATACTTCAGGAGAATATCATTTACTCTAGCTCCTACACACACACACAAACGCACACACACACGAAAAAAGAATCTGAGCCAGGAAATAAGGGGGCAAGCATAAAAAGAAAATAATTTAAGGTTCCTTCTACGAAGAGGGGAGGGGAGAATTGTGATACTTGGGAAAGCAAAGATAAATAAAATGCTATGTTGACAAGCAAAGAAGTGTGAGGAAGAGTCATAGATATTTATTAAATAACACAAAGAAATCTGGAAACAATGTATTTCTCAGTCATTATGAGAGATGAAGTCTATGTAGTTAGAAACTCCAGGGATGATATAACTATGATGCAGTAACATACCCTACCAAAGCAGGCTCTGAGAGACTATAATTTAAAATTATTACAATATTATAAACTAAATAAACTAATATTTGTAGTAAACTTAAAATAGAATGTTATGGGTGGGAGTGGGGTGCAGGGGGGCAATGGGGAAAAAAGGGAACATTTGTAATACTTTGAACAATAAAGTTTAAAATAAAAGTAACACTGAGAAAATAGAATGTCATAAATTCTATGGATTTTACACTTACCATTAACATACTTTATGTTCTTTATGTTACGTATATTGGTATAAAAACATTTAAAAATAGTAATGATGCCATGTACAGGATATGAATAATCTACACATCAAGAAATTCTATTGTTTCATTCAACAGATATTTACTGATTGTTGACTAAATAAAAAAGTATTTAATTCTATATATACTAAAAAAAAAAAAAAAAAAAAAAAAAAAAAAAAACAGCAGAGTAGCCCTAACCGGTTTGGCTCAGTGGATAGAGCGTCAGCCTGTGGACTCAAGGGTCCCAGGTTCGATTCCGGACAAGGGCATGTACCTTGGTTGCAGGCACATCCCCAGTAGGGAGTCTGCAGGAGGCAGCTGATCGATGTTTCTAACTCTCTGTCCCTCTCCCTTCATCTCTGTAAAAAAATCAATAAAATATTTTAAAAAAGCAGAGTAAAACAAAGGAATACCACTTTTTACCTATAAAATTAGCAACTAAAAAAATAATTCCCAGGCTGGCAAGAATACAGTTAAGTAGTCACTATTATACAGGTTTGTGGGAGTGTAACTGGTACAAATTTTCTGGAGGGTAAGTAGAAAAGTATATCAAACGCTTTGAAAGTGTTTATGTCTTTTCACCCATTAATCCACTTCTAGGAATTTAGTCTGAGGAAATAACCAGAGATGTACACAATGACTGACATAAAAGGATGTTCACTGTATATTTACAAAAGTAAAAAACTGCTAATGATCTAAATCTCTAACAGTAATTAATTAAACAATTTGCAATCTAGTCATATAAAGGAACACAATGAACCACTACTCTCATTTGAGAAGAAATGATTTGAGGGAAGGAAAAATGATTGTGCTAGACTATGTACAGTAAGACTGCAATTTGCTTTTATACATACAAATATATACATATACAACCAAAAACTGGAAAGCTAAATATCACACTGTTAACAATAGTTTTCCCTGTGTAATGCTATTTTTAGTTTTCTTAATTATATATATTTTTCCATTATTCTTCAAATTTCCAATGTAATCATGTATTATTTTTATAATGCAGTGGTCTTTGTGGTTTACATCCTAAACATCTACTCCACCTCTGTCAACAAGGGTAAACTCACACCACTTGTCCGTAACTCTATCCTGACCACAAAGTTAAAAAGAGATATCTATGCAGTTCTTAAGCCACCTCTAAATATGGATATTGTTTATGTCTAGGAGTGCTAAAATAATTTCAGTAGTTAAATACAAAAATCTTAATTATCATCCATCTTCCACTTTGTTCTTCACAGGTAAGAGAATTTTTTGGGAAAATGGCAGTACCGTATAAAAAAAAAAAAAAAAAAAAAAAAAAAAAAAAACTTACCACAACAAAAAAGCTAGGTTACACAACACAAAATAAGACAAGACAAAGCAGCATCAAACCATCACTGCTATAACACTTCATGGACAACATCAGAAAAGACAAGAGGAACATGGAAGTCTGGAAGGAAAGTTAAGAGTTCTGTGCCTCTATACTAAGAATATACTAAATCTAACAGAAGTAGCTGGAATCACAGAGGAATTTTAATTACCAAATGGAAATATTTTTTAAAAGCAATTACACAATTCCCTTTTAAAACAGCATCCTAAAATTGGGATGACTTGGGGGCTGGCCATCATTAAGAATTACCACATAGAAGATTTGAAGATGAAGGTATAGGTAACGCCTGTACTCACCGCCTCCCACAACCACATCAAAATTACAACTAAAATACAGAACAATCATTATCTAAAACCGCCGGAAAGCTGGCTGAATGGAAGTCCTACAACTAGAGAAGTAAAGGAGAAAGCACACAGACTGGTAGGAGATGCAGAGGTGTGGAACAGACTGATCAGGCACCCACATGAGCCACTTTTTTAATCAGGAGGGAAATTGTATCTGCAGAGACCACCCAGGGGAGCAAGGGGTCCCAGACCGACACCAGACCCCCAGTCCGGGGTCCCAGAGCTGGGAAAAGAAGTCCCTATAGGCAGTAAGAACTACAGGCTGTAAAAACCAGTGAGGGCTAGGGCTCACTGACACAGAGGCTGCTGGAGACCCAGCTGTTCCTCTTAAAAGGCCAGCACCACAAACCGAACTTATAAGGTCCTGCTTCCTCTGAGCTCTAGCACCAGGGTGAGGCTATGGGGAACACAGACACATATGAGGAGGAACTAGATTGTCCAGCATCGGGTCAGAAACTCAGAGGCAGCTTTCTCCCAGATGGAGGTGTTTGCAGGTATCATTGTTCCTATGCTGGGACCTCCCCAGTCACACGGCTGACTGGCAGCCATTTCTGTTTGCTCTGCCCTGATGATTCCCTAAGACCCCACCTAATCCAATTTACAACCCCACCCAAGCTGTGTACAGTGGCTTTTGCATATGAATGGCCTGTCCTTACTCAAACAAGCTGCAGCTGGGTCAGGGAGCCCCAAGCCTATCAATAAAAGGCCCAAGACCCGGCACCAGCACCAGTCTCCCTTGCTTCATAGCTGGGCCTCAACTGGGAACTTCCAAACCTAATACAAATCTGCAGATCTCTCTGTAGGTCCTGCTAGGTGGCCCGTCAGTGGCTGACTTTGCACCTCCCTGGTGACCCAAGAGCCAGTGTACCCAGTGGTCAGTGTGAGACCATACCAGATTACAACTCTACACATCCATAAATGACACTTTCAAGGGACAGATTCAATGAGCACCCAAGCCCCACTGAAGCAAGTTCTGCTCCATAGGGGTGTCTCCTGCACAGCAGCTCTCCCACTATAATCACAGCTGGTCCTTACAGCCAATTGGCCTGGAGGTCAATTCCTCCCAGGGACACCAACAGCAACAAGACTGTACTCACAGCCCACAAAGGAGTGCATCTATAGCTCCTAGCTCAGGTGACTGGGGAGGCTGGGAGGCTGAGCCTCTGGGCCCTATAGAACACCTGCTACACAAGGCCACTCTACCAACTCAAAGAGACATAGTAGCTCTACCCAATACATAGAAACAAACACATGGAGGCAGCCAAAATGCAGAGATGTCACAAATGGAGGAAAGCAAACTACTGGATACAGAGTTTAAAACCATGGTTATAGGGTTACTCAAGAATCTTCTAGAACAGTGGTCGGCATCTCATTAGTCAACAGAGCCAAATATCAACAGTACAATGATTGAAATTTCTTTTGAGAGCCAAATTTTTTAAACTTAAACTATATAGGTAGGTATATTGTTATTAACTTAATTAGGGTACTCCTAAGCTGGCCTTTGCTAAAAAACGTCCTCAATCTGATTGAGGTACATTCGCTGAGGTCGACCCCTTCCAACTCTCCCATCATCAACTCATGCATGAATCGTGTGCGCCTCCCCCTTGCTGCATATCCCGCGGACCACCTGCGCCGTGTCTCCCATCGCCTGACCGACCAACACCCCCCACTTCTTCTAATGCCACTTCTTCAAAATAGACTCACCCAGGCTGAAAACCGACTTCTGCGCATGGGCCACGAAGTTTCAATTGCACTGTACGTGCGCGCCCGCACATGGTATTTTGTGGAAGAGCCACACTCAAGGGGCCAAAGAGCCGCATGTGGATTGCAAGCCGCAGTTTGCCAACCACTGTTCTAGAAACCTCAAAAAACCTATTTGAAGAAATAATGACAGAAAAGTTCCCCTACCTGGTGAAAGAAATAGACTTACAAGTCCAGGAAGCACAGAGAGTCCCAAACAAGAGGAACCCAAAGAGAACCACACCAAGACACATCATAATTAAAATGTCAAGGGCAAAAGACAGAGATAATATTAAAAGCAGCAAGAGAAAAGCAGCTACTTACCTACAAGGGAATGCCCATAAGATTGTCAGCTGATTTCTCAACAGAAACTATGCAGGCCAGAGGGAGTGGCAAGAAATATTCAAAGTGATGAACAGCAGGACCTACAGCCTAGATTACTCTACTCAGCAAAGCTATCATTTAGAATGGAAGGTCAGATAAAGAGCTTCACAGAAAGTTAAAGGAGTTAAAGGAGTTCATCACCACTAAACCAGTATTATATGAAATATTGAAGGGTATTCCTTAAGAAAAGGAAGAAGATTAAAAGATCAAAAATATGAACAACAAAATTGCAACAAATACATTCCTATCAGCAACTGAATCTAAAAATCAAAATAAACAGCCCCTCCCTTCCTCGGTGCTGCCTACGGAGGTGGCAGCCATCTCCTACCCGGCATCATTGCTGCCCTCAGACCCCTCATGAAACCCAAGATTGTCAAAAAAAGGACCAAGAAGTTCATCCGGCACCAGTCAGACCGATATGTCAAAATTAAGCGGAACTGGCGGAAGCCCAGAGGCATTGACAATAGGGTGCATAGAAGATTCAAGGGCCAGATCTTAATGCCCAACATTGGTTATGGGAGCAACAAGAAAACAAAGCACATGCTGCCCAGTGGCTTTCGGAAGTTCCTGGTCCTTAATGTCAAGGAGTTTGAAGTGCTGCTGATGCGCAATAAATCTTACTGTGCTGAGATTGCTCACATCTCCTCAAAGAACCACAAAGCCATTGTGGAAAGAGCAGCCCAGTTGGCCATCAGAGTCACCAATCCCAATGCCAGGCTGTGCAGCGAAGAAAATGAATAGACAGATTGTGTACACATTGTATTTGTGTTAATGAAATCATAAAATTCTGCCAAAAAAATAAAAATAAAAATAAATAAGAAATCTAATGAACAGAATAAAGTGGTGAATAAAATAGAATCAAAGGTATGGAAATGGAACAGACGGACAATTCTCAGAGGGAAGGGGGGTGGGAGGATGGGAAGAGATTAAACAAAGACCTTATATGCATATATGCATTACCTATGGACAAAGACAATAGGGTGTCCAAAGCCTGGGGCAGGACTGGAACCGGGTGGAGGGGGACAATGGGGAGAAAAAAGAGGGACATCTGTAATAATCTCAACAATAAAGATTAAAAAGAAGAAGAAGAATTACCACACATCTTTGTAAGACATAATGCCCTCAGGGAACACTGGGGTATTGTGCTGGTAAATGGCCCCAGGTAGCTATATGGTTTTTATTTGACATTTATTGGCTTGTGTTTTAATCTGGAAAAATGCTAAGAAAATAGAAAATATCCATAGTTACTAATATTTTTCAAAAATGAATTTTTCAAAGGTAACATGGATACATTATAAATCACTTTAAACATTAAACAATTCATTCCTGATTCATTTCTATAAAAATACATCAAATAAACTAAGGTTACTAGAGGAAGCAAATAGCTTCCTCCTCAAGAGGCTTCCTCCTTCTACTGAAATAAGAAGTATGATGATAATGATAAAATAACAATTATTGTATAGCAGCTAACACTTACATAGTGCTCATTCTATGTCCAGGACAATTATAATAGCTTTAGACATATCTCAGTCTCCACAATCCCATTTTATAGATGAGAAACTGAGGCAAAGAGTGGTTAATATCTTGCCCATCATGAGAGACAGAGCCAGTAACTGAGAAACACACTGATCGCATGCTCATCAGAAATCACTGATGACATGTCACAGAAGGAAATGGAGGTGAACTATAAAGAGGAACTTGTTTGTTCTTATCCATATCAAAAACAAATTTTTCAGGAACCTCAACGTAAAATCTTTGGCTTATTTCCTTAAGGAAGAACCATCACTTTATTCTGAGCATTTGCATTCCTCATTTATGTCCACATTGTTTAATTCCTCTCTCAGGACTCTAACAACCGATCCCACACCACATCATCAGTGTCATCAGCCTCTTTCTAAGATCCTCAGTGGGTCTTTCCAACTGTCAGAGACAATCTGTCTGCTGTTTCTATTTACACATCCCAAGTTTACCCACCCAAACTTCTGTGAGGAAACCACAGACAATGTCTGCTTCTGCCAAAGGATAAAGGAAACAAAATGTTTTCCACTCAGTTAAAAGAATGCCATTTGTCAGATCAATCTGATGCTGCTGGATGAACTGAACACTTCCATCTGACCACCTTACCACCCACTATTTAATAGAAAATCGCATGATTTCCAAAATGGAAACTATTCAAATTGCCTTCAAAAAGTTAAACCAGAAATGTTTATTTTTGGTCAACAACAAAAAGGCAGACAATTCTAGGCAGGAGCTGCATATCTATAACATGCACCCTTTTTTTGGCCAAATATAAATTTATTGCTATTTCCCTTGTCATATAAAAATTCAAGATATATACCCAAAATAAATATGCCAGATAATATTTTCTTTAAACAATTGCTATGCAATAGTAAAATCAGGTTTTCCAGTTGATAAGTTTCCCCCATTTTCCCAAATTCAATTCATAATCTCTCTCATGAGCTCTGACATTTCTCAACTGCATAGATTCATTTCCAGGTTAATAAAAATCTATGCATTAGAAGAGGTTTATATGACATAAAAGTAAAATGTTTGGTATTTAATATTAATAAAGAGACTGAAGACTTGTTCCTTTTAATCTAAAAACATTTTTGCTTTCTCAAAAACATAGGTTAATGTTTCAACAAGAAAGAATAATTTGTAAAGTAGGGTTTATTTACAATTTCACAGCCCAAGTTGAGCATGTCTTTTTTTTTATAAGATGATCTGTCTTAACTAAGACCATATATAGGAGAAACCTCAACTTTCCATGGCTAGTGTAATAACTATTTGTTCCAGCAGATCTTTACCTACCCACATACTTGAAACCCACTGGACCAATTTCAAGGCCGTGACCTAATCTTAGCCTGCGCTGATATCCACTGGCAAGTTGTACTTTCATACAGGTATCTGTGACTTTATATCCTACATAAATTTCCTTTTACATGTTCTCATAACAGGTAATAATTACAGCACTTACACATGGTTCCTGATATCCTGCATTACCAAGCTCTTGCCATGACACATATTTCCTATGCTCTTCAACCTTGATTACAGTTTGTTGAGTATTTGCACCCAGTGCTTCCAGTTAACCTATCTTATAGCACTTCAGTCTTCTTATTTCAAATCATATTCCTCTTTCTTCACTGTTTTCTGTGCCTCTAAAGCAGCGGTTCTCAACCTGTGGGTCGCGACCCCTTTGGGGGTCAAACGACCCTTTCACAGGGGTCGCCTAAAATCATCGGAAAACACATATTGAATATATAATTACATATTGATTTTGTGATTAATCACTATGCTTTAATTATGTTCAATTTGTAACAATGAAAATACATCCTGCATATCAGATATTTACATTACGATTCAAAATAGTAGCAAAATTACAGTTATGAAGTAGCAACGAAAATAATTTTATGGTTGGGGGTCACCACAACATGAGGAACTGTACTAAAGGGTCGCGGCATTAGGAAGGTTGAGAACCACTTCTCTAAAGCACATATAATTATTACATACAGCGCTATCTATCTGTCTCTTGCCAGTGAAGTATACAGAAATGAATCGGTACAGTCATCCCTCGAATTCATGGGAGACTGGTTTAGGAAACCTAGCAGATACCAAAATCGCAAATGCTCAAGTCCCTTATTATAAAATGGTGTAGTATTTGTATAACCTTTATTTGCATATAAGCTACAGCAGGGTATGTCTACACATCGCTTCAAGTGGATTCAGCAAAGTGCTCAGCGTATGACAAATTCAAGTTTGCATTTTTAAAATTTCTAGGTTGGTTTTTTTTCTGAATATCTATCTTTTAACCTCACCTGAGAATTTTTTTTTTTATTGATTTGAGAGAGAGAGGAAAGGAGAGAGAGAGAAACATTAACATGAGAGAAACATCAATAGGTTGCCTCCCACATGCACCCCCATCTGGGATTGAACCTACAACCTGGATATGTACCCTGACAGGAATCAAACCTGCAACCATTTTGGTATGTGGAACAATGCTCAAACCAACCTGTGGTAGGCAGAAGGAGCACCCACCATTCTGTTCTTGGCTCTAATTTCTAGATTTTGTAATTTCTTTATAAGAACTATAGTCACACAAAGTAAACAAATATCAGTGAAAATGAACTGGCAAAACCAGTTGTCCTAATTTTCTTTTACTGAATAGATTCAACACTATTGTCATCTGTGCATTCAAGCAATGCACGTTACTTAAGTGTAAGAATCATTCTTGCACCTAACGTAATCCAAAAGCTGTATCAGAACAGCACAGACATACAGTAATATCAGATATAGTTTCAAGTGCTATAAAACACAATGATTCTACATTTTGGTTGCAGGCTTTAAAAATACTATAGTATATGTGGTTTTTTTGTTTTTGTTAATCCTTACTCCAGGATATTTTTCCACTGAATTTTAGAGAGAGTAGAAGGGAGGGGGAGAGAGAGAAACACTGATGTGAGAGAGAGATATCAATTGGTTGCCTCCCACAGACCACCCCAACCAGGGCTGGTGAATGTGCCCTTGATGGGAATTAAGCCCTGGACCCTTCAGTCTGCAGGCCGATGCTCCATCCACTGAGCTAAACCAGCTAGGGCAATATATGTGGTTTTGAGGAATATCCTAATTGTCATGTCTGAGACTATTATTTTTTTTCTATTCAAGTGCTGACAAGTCTGAGTTTATAAGTACACACCATTTACCCTGCTTTTAAGTTGATTTTAACCTTAAGAGTACTCTTTTTATTAGCCCTCACCTGAGAATACATTTTTACTGACTTTTTTAGAGAGAGAGAAAGGGAGAAGGAGAAACAGAGAAAGACTGACTTGAAAGAGAAACATCTGTCAGTGCCTCCCGTACACACCCTGACCAGAAATCGAAACTGCAACCTTTTGGTGTATGGGACGATGGTCCAACCAACTGAGCCACGCTGGCCAGGGCAAAAGTACTCTTATAAAGCAACAAAATTATAGAGAATTAAGGTCAATTGATAACTAGATTCTAAAACCTATTAAATTTTTAACTGGACAATATCAAAATCCCTATAATTTGTAAAGAGCAATAATAAAACTTGAAATTTTTCCAGTTTCAACTATGATTTCCCCAAAGATAAAAACACACGTTCGGAAATTCTGTCTGGTTCATCTGTATATTCCTTTAAATGCTTCATTAACAATTATTCTACTGCTAGATGTAAGGTTAGGTATAATAAATATAGACACTCAGATCACATTTTAATAAAAAACTGTCTAATTCAGTATTGAAAATGTTATTCATATTTAACTGTCTTCTGGAAACAAAGCCTTGTTTTCTAAGCCCCAGAATAGGTCCTATCCTTCAAACAGAAGTTACTTACAGTGCAGCCCTGTTTATCACCAAAGTAAACATCTCTGTATAATCTAAACTCAGCTCCTTCTGAAAGACTTTCCATTTTATCTATCCTTTATTCGCAATATGTGTCCTTGATATCAGTTTCTTTCGGTCATGTTGTTTTACCTTTGCTGGAATATTTTTCTGTATCTTCTACATGGGCTGGTCCTTTCTCCCACAAGGTGGCCTATCTCCTGGGAAGCAGGGACTTGTCAGTAATATTCTTATAAGGCTCTGCACACAAAAGCCAACTGATGTAAGTACCCAACTGATTCTATGGTCTCCCAAACACAAGAAATCAGAAAGGAATTAGATTCCCTAATACCTTGTTTTATATTAACAATTAGCAGGTGGCATATTTACCTCCACCTTTC